CTTGTTCTGATTTTTTATGAAAAGTTGCCGAATTCTTTCGTCTATCACTTTTCGAAATCAAAGCCAGTAAATCTATGTCTCGTTTTGTTAGGAATGACAGCTGAATACGGTAGGAGCTCGTCTCCGTATATACGGTAGGGTCATTATACCATCTGCTAAAATCTGGTGTTTCCAAGAAATATTATCCAACTTTCATTGCGTTAATCCCAGCAAAAAAAAAGAGGGACAGAAATGCTGATGTGTCCACAGTTTTCTTACAAGAGGAGACTGCTTGTAAGGAAGCCAATGGAAAACCATGATTTCTTTGCTTTTTAGTCAGGTTTTAACATCATTCATCTCTTGTTATTATTCAGGTTGCCAGCGATTTCACCTGGATTTACAACGGCAACAGGTTAGAAATTATTTTACCGAATATTTTGGCGTTTATTATATTGATTATTTTTGAGCACAAATAGGAAAATGAAAGCAGGTTTCTTTATTCGCATTTTGTCTAAACATTATCGCAGTCTCCTTTGTTATTTCACCGTCAAGGAACACCTTGGTTTGTTTACTTAGAATATGACATGTTTCTTGTTTAGTGGTACGGAGCTTACAAAGCAGCTTAAGTGCTTTTAAGCTTAGGATGTTTACTATCATTATTCTATAAATTTTCTTGCTAGTTTTTAGGTCAGATTCCAACTAGAGAGTCGTTGTTAAAATTTTCTAGGAGTTAGAGATGGAAGTCACTACGTGATTCACGAAACATCAGGCGAACGCACTAACTAATCCAGTAGAACTTGAAACTCCGTGGCGATAGTTCTGAGGTTCCTAATTTTTATGAAGTTTTAAGGAGCGGAGCTGATGGCAGAATGTTCAAGGATTCTTGGACAATTTTCTGCTCGAGAAATGCGATGTGTTTTCTCTCCAATCCGATGTTTGTTTCGTCCGGCGGATCAACCACACGACGACAACGATGGCAATCGGCGGTGATCAATAGGTGATCGACGGCGAGATCGAGACGATCAAAGCGAATAAATATTGTGAACGGTTTTCTTTGTTAAGACGTACTATCTAGCATTCATTGTTTTACATATTGGAAGTCTAATAATATCATATTTAGAAATTCTATTTTCGGAGCAGATAAACGTGAGACCACGCGTGTAAAAAAGTGGATAAGGCGTTCGATGTTAGTCAATCCCTTAGGAATGCAGCATATAACTTTATATTAAGCGTAATATAGGTAATTGAACATGTATTTGCCATATGCTATGGCATACGGAGGTGGCGCGTGTAGCCCAGTGGTCAGAGGTTTTGCGAAACACGCATGGTCTCTGATTCAGTTCCATGCCTACTAAACCTACTAACTCTCTGGGGTCTTCTCTAGGGAACAACAGCGTTAACTTGACACATCGGTAGGCTACTGCACGTCAATCTATAGGCCAGATATGCTTTCAGTTACTTGTAACGGTTTTCAATCCAGTCAAGTGCATGGCGCGTTTATCAGGAATTGATCAAAGCGGAAGGTGGCGGACCAAGAGCTGAACCCATTATTTATTTATGGTTTACGACTTACAACTTTCGATCTTTTTCGTGGACTGGATTTAAAGCAACTTAATGATACTAGCGAAAGTTTTTTTTAAGAAGATGCTCGTAGCACATTAGGCAAAGCTATTCTGCAATGCATCCATTCCAGTTGGTTCGACCTTTGCGCACACAAATCAAGTCCTTTATCGATCCATGGTCATACTATGGGCGGAAAACTTCGTCCGGAGATAGGTATCTTCGGAAGATGGTGACAATAGGAATACTCAGTTCTCAAGACGCTCTGCATAGTACAGTCGCGCATTTCTGTAGAGCTAAGTTAAGGGGTTTACCGATATTACCGATCAGATAATTGACTGCGATCTGTTCTTCTTCAGAAAAATGTTTTCTGCGTAAAATTTGGGCAACATTTTTTGTTTTAACCTTTTTATTTACCGCCCACTCTTTTTAATGGCAAGATATATTGCGAAATATAACTTTTATGATGCTGCGATATTGGCAAAACTCCCTACTGCAGGTGTCTGCGGTGGGAACGAACGTGTTATAACCTTTTCTGTGGACTAACGCGTTCACCACTACACCATGCGGGTCCTTCGTTTCGCTTGTCTCTCAGCTAATTTTGCAAATATCTCAGCATCATAGTTACATTTCGCAATACACCCTGCCATTAAAAAGAGTAGGCAGTAAATAAAAGGTTAAGATTGTGATTATAACTACGGGCCAGCTTAACTGGGTTCATTGCCGATTTGGGCTCTCCAGATCAATCTCAATCTCACTGAAGGGTAATTGCCGATGGCAGTGATCGATAGAACTAGCTGAGAGACAGGCGAAACGAAGGGCCTGCCTGGTGAGGTGGTGAACGCGTTAGCCACCGGAAAGGGTAATAGTGCGTTGGTTCCCCACCGCAACACCTGCGGTCCGGAGTTTGGTAAATATCTCAGTATCATAGAAATTAAAATACCTCGAACCAAAAATCGGTGAGGTAGAATACTTTATTGAACCGTGTCAATTCAGAGGACGTTTAATGTGAGGTAAAATTCATGTTTTACTATCATGCGAAGCACACAACCACTATCCAAGCCGTTCTTGATTTTTTCATTTCGGTATCACACTTCCGGGATTACTTGAAAACTATCGATCTTCTCGTAATTGATAGATCTTATGACCAACAGAGAAGTTTAACTGTTCAATTCAACCTGACTGGAATACGACGGAGAACTAGTTGCCACGCAATGATCTCCTCTGTCTGACTACATATCCACCTAGTCCCTCGTGAGCCAGCTGTAAGTGGGTTAACAGATGATTTCGAAGAACGACGAGGGCGGTGTTGTGGCTGAAGCAGATGAACGTCGGAACGTCGGATATTCACTTTCCAGGAAAAAATTCCTGCGAATACACTCCAAAACGCCACCCACTCCCCACTTCTAAAAAGTCCAATCGAATAATCCAAGCCCATTATCAGCGTAGCTTTGTGATGAGATTTCCATTCACTTGAAAACCGGGACACTACGGTGGCTTCATAACTATAAACGTTCAAATTAACTCTTGTTTCTGTATACTGGTGAGCAGGAGGTGACGTTCTGCGTGTCGAGTTGAATCCTAAAGTAACCTAGTTAAGCAAAGTGAAGAAAGGTAAATACTCATTAGAACGAAAACTAAAGACCGAACGATTTTTATGAAGATGTACAATTCAGGTACCAACCCGGTTTTTCTCTACAGTTCCCAACATATTGTACTACTATTTTGTTCATTCATTGCTCATATCAATATATGAAAAGCGACAATGACAAAAAACCAGAGTTGTATGCAGGTTGGAAGAGCGACTGGAAGACTATTCTAACTTTATCGCGGAATTCTCATCATTCGTACGGTTTGAAGATTGCCGATTTTCTCCGCTGAGAACTCAGTTCCACGGTGGCATCGGATCCATTAGTCCTGGAAACGTTCTTTTGAAGTTCGTTCGAAACGGTGAAAACATTTAGGGATTTGCTGAAGAATTCAATACTCTCCAATATTTCTGCCAAACTGTTTGAGTGGAAAATAGTCGCTAACCTGCCCTTCTGTAGTTTGCACAATTTGAATTTTGCGTTTAGGTCCACCATTTACCTTTGCAAGTTTGAAGGAAATAGCAATATTGTGGCTTGATCACATCCAACTCTCCCTCCACTCTCTTTTCCTTATTCCTCCCTTTCTCTGCTTCCTCCTAACTTTCCTTATCTCTCTCCTTCTTTATCTCTCATACTCATAAACTTTAGTTAACCAATAATTACAATCAAATAATATAACAGTGATAACCATTAATCACTAACGTTACCTGCTTCTCTTAAGCATGGAAGGTTGTTCGTGCTCGTCTCGTTCTACCGACGATCCGCTGCTTTCCTGGTGTGTTCGCCTCCATTTTGCGCGTCTGTTGGAGAACCACACCTTTGAAAAATTTTAAAAAACTACCAGAAACTTGCAGCGAAGACAGCAAATCTCCTTCAATTTTTAAAGGGGAAGAAAAACCAATGCAGACATCTTCTTCGTGTTCGCGTCTAATCTCATAAAAGGCGATGAAACAATAACACGTCCTGTGTTGACCAATCAGTAGGGAACGCGTCATAAATTCAAGATTCCATTTTGGAGAATGAGAGATCTTACTTGCTATTAGGGGAGCGTGTGGCGCAGTGATCGAAGGCGCTCTGCAGCACACACGTGGAATTGGTCCCCGGGTCCATGGCACACCAAGCTTTCCATCCCTCCGGGGACGGCAAATTGGTACCAGACTTGTCTGGAAGGATAGCAGCACTGACTGATACATCGGTAGGCCACCGTGAGTCATTGTAAAGGCTAGATATGCATTCAATCACCTCCAAACGATGCTTAATGAAGTCGAATGCAGGACGTATTCCTCAAGGATCGATCAACGTCGAGAGCTTTATCATTTTCTTTATACTTGCCGTTAGCGAAAGTCTGAATACTCCAAAAAATTCTATTCCATCTAATAGTCCACTATGACTTCATCTTGCTTCAATGTTGGAAATGGGCGCATATTTCGCACTGTATAAGTGGAATTTAACTTAAATGGGGTTCCAGGTTTGTTAAGCATTGTAGAAATGATTGAATGCATAGTTAGTCTACGCAAGGAATTGCAGAGCCTAATGGCAACAATTTATTGTTCCTTAGTCTCACAAGCTAGTCTGCTACCAGTTTGCTACCTCGGAGGGAATGAGAGGCCTTGTTAGCCCAGCAGTGCCAGCCGTCGAGCATATGCACATCAAGCCACCTAATAACAACTACTCTGCGCAAGCTTCTGCTTTTACAATATAGTGGCTTAACTCTTTATTTATTGCCTATTCTGTTTTCATTGCACCTAGTTGTGTGAAATGCAGCCACAATGATACTGAGATATGAACAAAACTTGAGACCTCAATTGGGTTTCAAACCTACTATTACCCTTACCGGGAGCTCACCTACCATCACTACACTAACCGCGCACGTCACCCGCTTAGCGTTTCCATCAGCCGTGTCCTTACTCTATCGGTGTTCGAATAGCAAGAGTTGGTAGTAGTAAACTAGAAAGTAAACAGTAGCAGCTTCTATTACCAACCTCGTGTAAGCTCAATAACTTAAATAGATGTTGTTTATTTTACTACCGACGTTAAATGACGGTCGGTTTGAAAATTTTTGACAGTAGAGGTTCATTTCTACCACTGCAGCTTTAGCCTAACTGAGTCCAACGCAGATTTGTGCTTTCAGATCATTCCCGTTGACGGGTGACTGCTGATAGCACCGATAGAGTAAAAGAAAAATAGAGAGAAAAACTAAGCAAGGGCCTAGATCGATTCAGCGAATAACGCGTAAACCCTAATAAGGGTAATTGTGGGTCCGAAGCCCAATTGAAGTTCCGCATTTTGCTCATGTCTCGGCTCCCATATGGTTAAATCTTACAATAAAGTATTCTTCCGCGATGTCTTACCTGAATTCTGGCCTCTGGCAACTGCGTGTTTTTCACTAATTCCATCCGTTGAGCTGCACTTGGATAGGGTTCCATAGCGAACGTGGATTCCAATAGCTCAAGTTGCTCTGTAACTTTTAATAGTTGTATGCACAGCGAGAAAAATTCGGTGACTAGTTAACGTGGACTAAAATTTGAATTTGATTTTTCACACGGTCCGGTTCGACTAGTTGTGCGAACAAAAACCTTTCTCATTCGATATGTTTCGTCGCATCCGCTAACTACGAAGATATTTGGATTTGCGCATAGGTCTCGCTACTGTTTGCGAATTTTGGTCTTTATGATTGTTGCTCAGTGGTGATAGAATAAATTCTCCTTAGAGTTCTAAGTTGCCCTGCTTTGGTGTTTCCAAGTATTTACCACAGACGGTCAGCAGCCTTTATGGTTTGCAGATCTCCTAAGACAATTATCTGAAAGCAATCTCACGATTCCGGATTGAGCGAGGCGTGGTTGGCTCGTAGTGGCTTCGAACCAGGGCTCCGTTCGTGTTGAACGGCATCACAACTAGTACACAGTCCGCGCTCCACTTGCAAAACTCAATGCGCTTATTTGCCTATTATATTTGCGAAAATTAATATGCAATTGACTAGAATAGAAACTTCATCATCAGCATCTCCATAATGTCAGTGTAATAATTTTTCAACATCACGTTGTTTTGTGATCAACCGGATTCAGCTTAACCTATTTCAGTGGCTGTCCTGTTTTAAGTTTTCTTTTTTCGATGACTGATCACGGTGACAGCTATATAGTGAGTAGTAGAAGAACGTCAATCGAGATAGGAGATTAACCTACTCCACACCTGCTACTTCATTTCGTGGTTGGCTCAACAGACTAAGCGAGTGTCTTCGTCGGCTGTGGACTTTGTGGTTTTTTGAAAATAAAAAATTTCTCAATAAATACAGCATTTGAGGTGTTTTGAACATAATGGGATTGTAGACGGTGGGGAACAAACGCGGTGTTACACTTTCCGGGTTCTAATGCGTTCACCACCACACCATACGAATCCCTCGTTTCGCTTGTCTCTCAGCTACTCCTAACGATCAGCGCCATCAGCAAGCACCCGCCAACAAGATTGATCCCCAGAAGCCCAAATCGGCAACGAATACAGTTAACCTGAGCCTGTATTCGAAATCACAATGTTGACTTTATTATTTACTGCCTATTATCACTTTTCATGGCTTGATATTATGTGTGATACAACCACAATGCTGCTGAGATATTCGCAAAACTCTGAGAGGAAAACAAGACTACAGTGGGCGCGGGGATCGATTCAACGTGTGTGTTGCAGGGCGCCTCCGTCCACTGCCCCACACGTGCCCTTATGAATATACATAGTCTGGTAAAGTAAACTTTGTAACCCACTAAACTTAATATGGACACTATAGTGGAGCGGGGTGAAGTAAGTAGAACTAGACGGCAAACATGCTTCAACTCGAAAGATATTACGTGTGCCCTAACCCCTTTTGACGTTGTTGCTAGCGCGGCAGTTTGAACTGATATTTGGAGGCATGGGTCTAGTTGCTTGTATATGAATACACAGCTGTTCATCTGTTGGTTGCTACGATCAAATGGTGTGGTTCAAAATTCATATGGAGGCAACATAAAGATATGAAGGCCAGACAATGTCTTATTGTATGGGAACCATGAAGTATTCGATAGTAGAAACACTTTCCGAAGAGTCTGCGGTCTATGGCCATTAGACTAATTTCTCACGTATTCATATTATATTTATTATTAATACTCATAATTCCTGTACATAGTAGGGCCATGCGACACCAATGCTGTTTTTGAGGAGCTTCAATAAAGTGAGATGATTCTAGAAATATTTTAGCTATGTATGTGGAAGTACTAGTTCAAAAACGATTTTAAAGCGACAGTGTTCACGAAAAAAAGTTTTACTCATATTCCCTAATTTTTTTGCTTTTTAAACGCTCAAGAAAGCAATGAGATCAGCCACATTTTCCAGCTATATCTAGCCAAACTACAGGACCGTGTGTAGAGCAGTAGCCGGAGATGCCTTGCAATACACATGGGATCTATCCTTGTGTCCCCGGCTCATTAAGCTTTCCATTCCTCTCTGATCGGCTAGTTGGTGCTAGACTTGTTTAAGAGGATAGCAACACTGGCCGCTGGGGTCAATGTAAAGGGCAAATATGAATTTAATCACCTCCAATGAAGTCGAATGCATGGCGCATCCCTCAGAAATTGATCAACGCCGCGAGCTTTATCCTTTATTCTGTATATAGTCAGACTGTTATTGTATTCTTTTGACGCGCAAATCAGATTTTTCAACGAAAGCTTTACAGAGGTAGTGATGGATAGTGCTTGTGCTCCTTGAAGAGATGGTTTGGCTAGTACTCCGATCTACAGAGGACCAGGTGTTGTAAATGGTAAATGAACTACGGGACAAACCTAGTAAAACTGAATTAAGAATATGGAATGGAAATGAGAGCCAAAGTGGTTTTAAGGTGGCAAGAGATGCCCTCTCCTCTCTGCTTCGAACAATAAAATGAAGGAAAAAGCCCTCAGCACTGATCACTATGCATCCTGCATTCGACTTCATTAAGCATCGTTAGAGGTGACTGAATGCATGTCTGGCCTACCGAGGCACCAAATCAGTACTGCTATGCTCCTAGACAAGTCAGGTACTAGTTTGCCCACCCTGGAGGGATGAAAGGTTTGGTGAGCCTGGGACGCGAGATCGATCCTGTGTGTTCCTCATGACGCTTCTTACCACTGCGATACACGTGTCGCGTACATGTCCTTCGTCTTCACTTTCGAGCAATAATTTCGCACATTTAATTCAGTGTCTGCTCAATGTGGTCTTACCTGGCCGAAATGTAGCGAGGTTCCGACAAGTCGTTTAGAAAAGAACTTTGTAATTGGAAAACCAGCGAAAACTCTAAGATTCTAAGCATCAGGCAACGAATAATCCGAATAAGCAACCATTTAGCAGTTAAGTAATTCCTTTAACAACAACCCACCTTGTGAGAAACTACTTCGCCCACATCTGCGCACACTTCCATCGTCTTCACTCATCGGAACAGTTTCAGCGGGAGAAGGAGGAGTCATCGATGAATAGGCGGAGACAAGCGGAAATGGCATGGACGGAAATGATGGACTCAGTACAACTCCTTTACAAGCACTATGTTCTTATTATTATTTTGTTCACGAAAAAGAACACCTATAACAGCACCGGGCCATATAGTTTGATGAAATGTGAAAGGAAAAGCGTTGGATGGAACTCCTAACGATGAGATACGAGATGAGAGCCGTTGCTGACTGCAAAGATCTCATTGAAGTATTAGTAAAACAATGTCGGAAGCAGGGTAAACATGTGTGACTAAGATATATAAACGTTAATAATTGTGCCAGTAGTTAAGACAAAATGTTCCAAAAACCTCTTCCTCTGGAATAGGTATCTAACGAAAAATTAAAAAAAAGTGGGATAAAATTGCCTGGCGAGGTTTTGAGCATTCAAAATCATGGTTAATTCTTCGGCGGCTCGCTCAGCTGCCCTTGTTCTCAGGATTCGGTTGATCGACGATACCGACGGTGGCGTTGAACAAACAGCTGCAACAAACACTCTCTATTCCGTCCATTTTGTTCTGGTGGTGCGCTTAAGCACCGAATCTTTAGGAGCGCAAATTAACAGGCTCAATGACTTGACGGCACAAAGAAGTTTTCATTTCACGGCTTGCCTAAGGCAGGCGTTCACAAAGCATCCAAAGCCAACATTTGTAATTGTCCTGGATTAAAAACGTCGTAGTAAAGGGATCAGTTCTGAATTACGAATTACGCTGACAGATTTCCTTGAAAGCCGATGTATGCTGATTCGGCGCAGATTCCACCGTACCTTCGGAAATTTTAGCCAACGAAAGTGCCCTAAACTCGTCATCTTGACTGTTTTCGCCAATAGCAAGCTTTTTTTCCTATTTAAAAATTTATTCCACCGATCTCCTTCACATGAGGGATCTCGAGCGGTTAGTCGCTAGGCTACATGGCGCGCCCCCAGGTGGCGGATAGGGGGTAATCGCGGATCAAAAGCGACCTTTGCTTCCCTGAGACGCAGGTAGATTCAGAGGATGGACTCCCTGTTTCTGATGCGTCGACTTGTCACATCCTTTCTGTATTTGCTAGACGTATTCATGCATGCGTGCGTGCGTGTGTGGGTGCGTTCTTGCTTATGCGGATTGTATTCTTTCTTTGATGAGCTTACACGAGGTTAACAATGATGTTTATTTTCGGCTAACGTTTCGATGTCTTCGTCTTTCTCAGAGCCGATGATCCGAGTCGATGGTCTACGCTTGTTATTCGTCTCAACGTGGCAGCTTCGCCTTCGTGTCGAGTCAGGTCTTCCTCAGTGAGCCAACCGATGGACAAGAGCCGTTAGTGACTGGATTCCTCGGGATCTCAAACGTACTTCAGGAACACCACCGACCCGATGGTCAGAGTTCTTCACAAAGAGCCTTGAAAAAAGATATGATGCTCGATGAGTCCCTAAAGCGAGCAAAACCCACTAGGCTATTCTTGTACGCGACAGGGAAAAATGGAAGATTTACTGGCGCCCGCCCGAGTCACTCGACGATCAACGGGACTACGGGTGACACAGGTGATTTAGAAATTCATTAAGTGAAATATTTGTCGCTTAACCTTTGCATTAGATAGCGACATTAGCTAACAATCCAGTAACAGAAAGCAAAGGTTGATTGACGTGGTGCTTTAATTCCATTAAAAGTGCCATCTATTAAAAAGAAATGAGTATTTTCAGAATAGTGCCAAATAAGATTATGCAAACGATTTTCAGCGCAAGGTGTTGTGGTAGAATCTACCAATCGTGGATGCGTTTCCCGAGAGTGGCGTTCAAAAATGACCGCTTGTTCTGCCCGTTCGACTATCTGATACTTCCCTCTCACATCGAGTGCAAACAGAACGAGCATCCCCTCTTAAGCACACATGTTCTCACTAAAGGTGCGGCGATTCAAAGTGAAATAGATAGGGTGCTCGACCGACGCTGTCTGAAGTGCTAAATCATACCTGAGACTAAGTTCGCTCTCTCACTACAATGCACAAATAGTACCGTATCCCCTGCTGTGAAAAACAAATGTCACGAACAATTGAAACAATGTAAAGCTGTCTTCTAGGTAGTGTTTGTTCACAAGTGGATGCTTTCAGTGCACTACAGATTGTTTCCTTTCGCAAAGAAAAAAGAAGTGTACCTTCATTAATAAGCCTTTCGCGGATCTCCCAAGCAAAAATCGTAGGATTATCGCGCTTGTACTGCTCGATTTTTGCGACCACTTGTGGAGTTGCTACCTAAAAGAGATGGACTCATATGGTTCATTTCTATTGCACCTCCTTCATGCAGGTGACCCTCAGTTGCCAGCCACCATCGCAGGTGTCCATGTAGTCGGTAAGGTTGTGCACAATCTATATTTATCACCGTGCATATACATTCCCGTTTTTCATTTCCGAATTCTAGCCCGACAAAGTACGGTCTGCTACTTAGGCGGAAGCCCTCGGTATGAGAACCAGATTGGCCACACTTGGTTAAGCGTGGAAAATAGTAAAAAACAGATCGTTTAACGTCACTCAACGGGTTGGTGATACATACTGCGAAACTCTAATGTGCAACGAATGAATAGAGAGCCTATAGATTTCCACATTACACAGGGACTGTCGTAGTTTCCGCTTTGGCTACTGGATGCTAAACGGGGTTAGAAATGATGTAGCTGCCACTTTTTCTTTATTTTGTATGACTCGTCTTCACGTCTACTGTGCAGATTGGAGCACTCCTCACATTCTATTCGTTTCCTCGCATCCATTGTCCACGAAGAGCTTCCAAAATTTACGTTTGGCTTCTGTTGTTGCTTGAGGTCTTCCATTTCATCTCGAATGCCATAGAATGCTGGTTGAGCAAGTCTTCCTGGAGCCCTGAGATAACCGGGCTGAAACGTTCTTAATTGGATTGCAGAGAGCGATTTCTTTCCCAGACAGACCTGGTACCGATTTCATGACCCCGAGGGGATGAGGAGCTTGGTTGGCACAGGGCGGAATCGAGCTAACACCTTGCTCGTGAAGACGGACGTCACTATTACTGTGCTATCCACCCCCTCTAGACGTGGCTACTTACAGTTAATGATTACGATTGAGTTCTGAAAGATTCGGTAGAAAAAAAGAATTGTAATAAGGAGCGAAACAAACAGTTACATTCGCCATGTAATATGAATCATTTATGTAAATGAAGGTGTTTCTCGAAAAATATAAAGGAAATTTACTTCGTTAAAGGCTGCAGTTAATCAAACGTTATTCTTTTTTAAAATTTAACAATTCATTGAGGGTGCATGAGTCCTGGACGACAGTTTTTGGTCTGCAATAGGAAAAATTTCGTTTGTGAAGAAATAGATGAGCTTGGCAACTACGGAAGGCACCGAATTGAAAGACGTCGAGAGAATGGTTAAAAATGTAAAATCCCTTACCTTAGGCTTTGTTCCCACTCCACCAGACTTCTGATGAACCGCTTCTCTGGGCATCTCTTCCAACTTATGCATTAAACCACTATAAGAAATAGATAATGAAGACTTATTAATAAAATATACGATCCTTCGAACAAAATACGTACTCATTAAAAGGTGACGACTACCGTAGTCTGGGCGAGTAACAATGGAAGGGCGGGGCAATACCGAAGCCGACACGGGGGTCAAACAGAGAGAAGGAGCTTGACTCCTGTTTCACTACTAATGAGTTTCTCCTCGAACAGTGATAATTAATCGAAATAACCATCATTTTAAAATCTGAGCAAATACAAAGGACTTCACTGATGATCAACGGATTAGAGAATATGAAGCACAAAGACTGCTAGGATCCACAAGATCCATATAATTTGTGACCTTTAGTGGTGTGAAATAAATTTTACAATAATATTCTTATGCACTTCTTTGTCTTTTTTTAAGGTAAAATGCAGAAAACTAAAAAAGCCTGCAAATTAAATGAGGCAGTAAATGAATTTATGTCCATCAAGGGGCCAAAGAACTTAAAGCACAGATGTAATACAAGCGTCTCATTGGAATTTTGCGATTATAGAGAGTTTTCAGAAAGTTACAAAGCAATTGGTGCAATAAGTTGTGTAGAGAGTTTTGTTTACAGGCAGTGCCCTAGAATTGCTATGCACAGGTTTATTTAAGAGCTCATTACTAGTTCCATATTGCCGTTTCAATGAAGGGTTTTGATACAGCAGTACACCTGTGTCAATTCTCGGTGCAGTAAGTTTCCCAAAACAATGTTTAAAAGCCTGCTAGGGAATATCAGTAAAATTCAGAGTCTTCTAAACTTTAGTTTTTTTGTCGAGATAAAGGCTGGATTGTAGGATTAGGGAGAACGAAAGTATAGCACAAGCAACCTTCCAAGGAGCTCAACGTTAGTCGAAAAGTATTGGGTAAAGCGGTAGACGACGTTTGAGAATGTCAAGTGGGGAAGACTACCATATGCGTGTCAAAGGGCGGGATTACGGTATAAGAGCATACGAGTGGAAGCGCTCTACAATACGGATTAACGCCAGCCTTTACGCGAGGCCTCTTGAACAAAGCATCCGCTTGATATGTAGAGAACACTCGACATCGTCTTTTTATGAAGGCGGAAACGCATGGAAACGGTTGCAGAATCGAGCCTGATGCACATTTCTTTGGGAAAGGACTTCGTTTTCGAATATCCGAAAGAGTGGAAAACTTAGCACTGTTTTTAAGCTTCAAACTTTCATAAGGCATAAGGATATGTTGAGGCAAAAAGATATGCAAATGTTGCATGGGTCTACAGGTCATACTGTTGATAGATCACAAAGCTTATAATGCCCCACTACAATACCGACTAGCGTATGAAGCGCAGTGGTTAATGGTCTCCGCAATGGGTTAGCTATAACAATCGTGATTAATACGGGTAATATTTGGTGAATAAATAGTCGAAGGTACTTAAAGAGAATGCAAGCGTCATCTACGAAAACCGCTCAAACGATGATTGTGTTCGTAGCTAACGTCAACCATCCGTAAATGTCTTTAGGAATTCGAAATGGGTCTCGCGAATGTCATCGTATTCGAAGCCCACCACTGCTATGGACGACGACCGCATTAGCAATGAAGACGGGTTATCCAAATAGGTGAATAGGTATATTATACGACAATTATCGGAAATTCGGAATGCATGTAGCGCAGTAGTGATTGATGCTCTGCAATGTAGTTGTACCCGGTTGAATCGATCCTGTTCAATACTTCTAGAGTCGACTGATTGCTACCAAACGTATTTGGAAGGGCGAAAAAAATTATTGGATACATCGGTAGGCCTCCGCAAGTCCATTCGTAGGGCAAATGTGGATTCAATCATCTACCATGCTTAAAAGAGTCAAATGTACGGTTCATCTTATAACCATCCGTTACCGCCCAAATGCTTAAACGCTTTGTATTTTGAATTGCTGGCACTTCAAGTTAATGTTTTCTGTGACTCACTGATTAATTAAAATTAACCAATTAATATAGGATCAATGAATATGAATAGTTTCTTTCTTGATTTTGCAAGTCCAATACTTTTGATTGTCGTAGGTTCAAAAAATTTTTGCAGTAAGAGCATGCTAGTTTTCGTAGAAATTTCACAGATCGGCTTTCACTTAACAGCAGTGTTGACCAACAGTGGCTAGTTAACATGTTTTTAAACGGTTGAACTTACACGAGGTTGACAAAGATATTTATTTCAGCTAAGATTTCGACGTCTTCCTCTTCGTTAGAGCCGTACGCACCACTGGAACCAGTAAGGCGATAGAACAATCTTTTCTACAATCCCGTCATTTTCACAATCGGTCAAATTCCTTCGTTGTTGATAAATTGTCGTTTATTGCTGAAAAACCGGCAAATCCGTGATCGACACGAAATTAGGCGTCATCCGACGCGCGCTGGCGTTATGTTCCAAAGACTTTAAAACGTCAAATATTCATGGAACAAGCCCTGCCCTCTCGCTATAAGACCATGTGTATTTCCGCAAGGCACCCAACCAACTCTGAACTTCCTTAGAATCTCAGCTTCCGTAGAATCGAAAGAAAAGTTTAAATTTTTGAAATTTTCGACCACAATGCGAAAGGCATGCCCTTGAAAGTCTCAAAGCATTCCGTTTTTGGCCCGACGCAAAGAAGTCTAGCGATCTACAATTTCTTCCCGTAGGATGGAGTCAATAAAGAATTCTGTAGAAATTTGTTTAGATCCACCACAAGGCCTGTGCCAGACCCATTTTAAAACAAGCACTATTTCCTCCTATGTTTTACAAACTAGTGACTATACACACGCTCTTCCCGCAGACCACACGACGTTTCATTTGCAAATTGATTAGATAGTCAACTATTATTAAACTCCACTTAGGGCAACGAAAATGGAGTTAGTAACTGCCGCTTAGTTCACTGAATATTCTACTTAGGATTCCATCGAAGACTATCCTAATGCGCATCGCGAAGAACAGACGATGTCTTAATTATAGAGCAAACCAGAGAGCGGAAGAGAATTAGAGGTATGAACGATAATGAAACACTGTCGAGCGTCGTAGAGGCTTGCAAGGAATATCATCTTCCTTCAGTCAAAGGTTGCTGACTATGTGAAAGCGCATTAGAATATGCAAACCAACATCGTACTGCCAGCCTTAGTTAGCCAACATGTAGATGCATCCTATCTGAGAATGTTTATGAATGAAATAGTCATTGCACCTTGACGATACAGCTTTTTCATCAACCATTAATTATTCTGATTCGCCTTTCTTTTGGCGAAAAGAAAAGAAAAGAAAGAAAATAGGAAAGGAAAAGAATACAACAACACGACATAATGGTGCCAACGTTTCTAACGCGTGCTACACTAGTGTGTTACACACATATTAAGGAGAATTGCAATTTTTTTCCCGAATGAGACAATGAGGAGATACTTGTTGACGATGTTTCTTTTTCGCCTTTCTTTTGCCCAACAGAGTTTTCTTTTCCATCAGTGGGCAGCAGGGAGAGAGTTGGACTACAATTCATTTGGAAAGAAGCTTATTTTATGAACATTGTCTGATGAGACGAAGAACAGATTATGGTAGCTTAGTCACCGTTGAAAAAAGCTATATTTATATACACCAGAAACGTTCAGAGAATATGGATGACGACTCTAAGGTTGAACTTGGCAAGAGAATACAAGCGACATTAACGCCGCTGGGTCCTCAGATCCCCTTTGGCTTCCTCCACCGATCAGGTTGTTGATACCGACTTCCATGCTAACTTATTTAACTCAACATCTCTGCACTATGCACCAAAAACATGAGTTTTTAGCTCAATCGTATAGAAGTTATCACCTATGTTCTAGCAGGACATATTAAGGAGATCTTTACAGACGACAATGACAAATTTTTCTTAGGATCCTATACTTAGCACGTGATAGAAGGAAGTAAAAATCTTTTTGTTACCCTCCTCAAACAAATATTTTTTAGACTTTCGAGTACGGTGAAACATCGGAAATGACGCTCCAAGAACCAGTAGTGCGGTGACAACTTCAAGCTGCCATAAATGGATGATTAGGCCGCGAGTCCAAAAATGTCATGTGAGTTCCAGCAGCTCTTCTTTCTATTTTCTTGTTCTCTGCAATGGTCACCTATGAAGGGGATAAAATTCTACCGCGCGGATGACTGTGGATTTAGGAGTTTTTCCCACCACTGAAATGTTGGATGCCGGGAATGCATGGTTTTTCGCGTCTACTCCAAAGGGTCATCGTTCCCACCTGTCGGCGACGATAGACGAGAGATTTATAACTAGTATTCTTTGAGGATGACAGAAATTTCTGTGATGGGGACGATACGTATGATTTCACAAGTCTGATCGACCGATTATGAATAATGTTGCAAGGCGAATTCTCCAAGCTACTGCGGAGTTAAGAAACTGTACCCACTGCTGATCCACGCTGGCCCAAGCAGGTCGTTGCAGAGGTTTGCGGACAAAAACACATTGCTTCTGGGTGTATATGAGTAAGCACTCCTCCTTGATTTCTAAGTTCATGTTTTCTCATATCCTTTATATTTGCAGCATTAGCAATCATTTCAGTAGCTCTTTTAGGAAGTTCTCTGCTTAAAACCTTTAAAGGGTTTTTATGCACAGTCTTAGGCGAGCATATGGAGTAGCCGTCTGTCAACAAAAAAGGGAAGAGCGAATCTCACATTTTTCATTATAGTACTCTATTTGATTTGCCGAAGATCACACTGCCCCATGAAAATAGGTGTTACCTGTAGGTGATCAAATTTAAGTTGTTAGGAGACTTCGGAAATCCGGACAACGTGTTATCTGTTGTTCATTTAAGTCGTTCTGTAGAGGCTTTCGAGAAATATGCCATGCCACAGCGGAATTCAAGGTGCCAGTGGTTTCACTGCATAGAGATTGATTTTACGGCAACACTTGTTGAAAATTGTGCCATCATATTTCATGAAAAATTTGTAATAAAGTCGAAGTTTACAAGGAGTTTCTTCACTCAAACAGTGGCCAAATACCCACGACACTCAGGAGATCGTGGAGAATGAATACGATGAATCGGTTTTTGTACCCGCTTGGGGTTCCGCTGTTTTCCTGATCTTCCACGAGTTGCACTTACGAGATTTGTTGGCATGACGTTTCCCTTGCCACTCTGCTGGAAGTGCAGAGGATAAGAAAAGATGAAGCTTTCAGCGCTGATCAAATTCTGAGCGATGCGCCATGCATTCGATTTCATTCAGCATCGTTGGAGGTGATTATGCTTATTTGGCCTATACAATGACCCGCAGTGGCCTACCTGCAGATGTATCGAGCCAGTGCTGCTATCCTTCCAGACAGGTCTGGTCTAATGTGCCGACACTGGAAAGATGGAGGGCCTGGTGGGCCTCGTGCGTCTGGGAGCAGGAATCAATTCCCGTGTGTACTGCAGGCCGTCTCCAACCACTTCGCTACAAGTGCCCTCGCGGAAACGCAGAGAAACAGAGGAATTCGAATTTCGCCCGAGTTACGGGAAGCGGCAAGATTTGACTGGAATTGTTGGGGACTCTATTTGGATTCTTTTGCTTAGTGGTTCAACTTTTTACGCCGGGAAACTGTTTACATCTCTTCTTAGCGATTTTCCATTCAAGGATTTGAATCAAATTTCACTTCATTTCGTTAAATGACTTAGCGCCATTGTTTTTCTATTTTCGTTTAAATATGATGCTTGTAATTTGGTGGGGAGTCACTCGAAAGGTGTGAAATATTCTGGTGTTTAGAAATGGATTCTTCTGCAGAGTTCTGTGGAGCTCGTGCTGAGCCATCGATTGATTGTCGGGAATATCGCGCTTCAAGCCTAATGTAGGTCCTTCTTTGTTCGGTACTCTATTTTTTTTTTTGAACGGCTAATTGTAATGTGATCAATTCCGACTCCAGGTTTGTCCCTCTTCGCTTTCCTCATTTGGTTGTCGTTTCAGGGATTTCTATAGAGCTGAACGGATTCGTGTGCTATTCATGCGGCAGGGTCTCTCAGTAGAGTCAACTGCATCAGCTGATTCCAGTAAGTTTACAAAGTAGCTTTCTAAACGGTTCTAACCACCTCACACATAGAAATCAGAAACTTTGAGCGAGTTTTTTCTCCATCTAGCATACATGTTATTGAGCTTACATTAGGTTGATGAACAGATTTGTTCGGCTAACGTTTCGACGGTTCACTTGACCATCGACTCGCATCATCGGCTCTGATGAAGACGGTCCACCGGACCATTGACTCGGTTCATCGGCTCTGATACAGACAAAGACGTCGAGGCATTAGCCGAGTAAATCCGTTTATCAACCTCGTGTGAGCTCAACAATTTAAACACATGTTGATTATTTTGCTGCTGAGGTTAAATGGCGGTCGGTTTGGAAATCATTTTACGTGTTATTCTTCTTAAAAGAGTCCGGTCATCGCTATCTTGTCAAGAAGAAAATTTTTGTGTACCATTATCGATTACTTTTCTACACAGTGGTATCCGTGTTACGTAGACTGTTAGGTATCGGAATGTTGTGGTAACAAACCTGAAATCGAAGGCCTTCATTAAAATATGTTTGCATTCTGAAGAATGATTCGTTTCTTACCACTTGCCTTGCTTATGTCCTTATCGCCATCAAGCGATAAACCACTAGCGGTAGGATTCGATGAAGTAGGTTGAGGGACTCGATAGATATTGGAACACCATGCAATTTTTGTATCACCTATAGTCCCATTGATCGTTCAGTGGCTCGAGCGGACGCCAGTAAATCTTCCATTTTCTCTGTCGCGTGCAGAAGTAGCCCAATAGGTTCTGCTTGTTCAAGGGGCTCGTTTAGCATCATAGCTTTCTTATGGACTTTTCGTGAAGAACTCCGACCAAGCAGTTAGCAATTCTTGACGTTTGTGTGGTCAACTGAGGTGTGCAGTTTTGTTCAATTTTTTAAAAGCAACTAATTCCCAATGTTTGGGACTCAGCGCAATCTTTCTGCTTGCTTCTTTGCATTCGATTTGAAAGTACAAGTTGGTCTTTCTTAAGGACTTCGTGCTATCTGACGATGCGTATATTTGCTGTTTTCCTAGAGGTTAGGGATGGCTTCGAAACGAGTTCGGCTGTTTCAAAGCGCAACCCTTGGCCTTGGGATGTGGTTTCAATAGCTGAGGGTTAAATTCAGTGATTTCTTTTGATGAGTGAATACGAGCAACTTTCCTGGATTGAGCATGGCAGAATGCATCTGGTGCTCCCCCTGTTTCCACGTCTTCACCATGTTTTTGGAATTAAAAAGTGAAACTGGGAATTCAATAGAGGTCCAATAGGTGAATTTTGCAAAGGGTTCCAATCCTAGCGCAGTTCACATTCACTGTTGTTTTTCGTGTTTGACTAGTGATAAGTGACGATTACCTCAACGTTTTAAATTGTACTTACCTTTTCGTCCCCTCAGCATTGATATCATTTATCAACTCCATATAGGAAATTAATAAAAATGTAAAAAAATTAATAAAAATGTAAAAATACTGTGGGTTTCAGTATTTTTCATACTTTAGGAGTAAATGCTTCAATGGACGACGAGATGGAGATCGTGAACGATGAGAACGTATTTTTGGAACGAAGCAGCGTATCTGACAGAGGAGGCAGAGGTACATTTTGATTTGTTATTCGATTTATTAGTGTTCTTTGTCCCTGTTTCTATTTGGGCTCAGATTCTTTTAAGTGACTTATCCTTATGGTTCTTCACTATCGCTACGTGACTACTACCAGTTTATCTTTCCATTGATTTGTTCTAGGTTGTAAGCGGATCGCTCAATCAGTGCCATCGCTTCTGACTTCTAACAAAAAGAGAGCTAAGTTTAGCTAACAGGACTTCAGTATGTCCCACCAGGCTTTGGTTCATCTCCAGTTTCGACTTGTAGATCTCCATATATGATCAGTATAACATACTTCTACGATGTTCTCTTGTTGTTATTTTTCGTTTTTGTTTTATGTTATTTGGATTATACAGCATGGAACATAAAGTAGAATAGTTCGTTTTGAATGGTTTTAAAATCAGAAGGAGCACTTTTCTTGCCAGTTTTGGTTCGTTCGGTAAGGTTCAAACATGTTTCGTTATGGTTCACTTCTTTACATTGTTTATTTTTATATATATGAAGGAATGAACTCATAGATCGTAAATACTTCCTATGTCTTTGCGCACCTGGTTGATATGATGAGAAATGTATAGCTACAGATGTATCTTCAAACTTTTCAGAGTCCTTTGTTTGATCGATCACTCTACCACTGTGGTTGGCTTTCGGGAAAAATAGCTTCATTTTAGTACCCGCATAGAAGACAGTTGTTTTACTTTGGAAGAACGCTTTCCTATTCCAAAGTAGGTGAAAGCGATTTCTCAGCTTCTTTGAGAGAATACATGTATGTGCAAAATCACATGAGAACGGAAATAACTTAGCTAAGATTTCAGAAACAAATACCTATACTCCTACTGACGAGCTGAATGAGAAACAGAGTGTGGTGACAATCGATTTGTGATTCTGAAAAGGAGTATCGAAATCAGATTGGAAACAACCAGTATGACTAAAGTACCATGAAGCATAGCGATTAGCATGACACATTCCGTATACTTCTGAAGGGTAAGATCGAAATCAAGTTGAAAATCACTGGTATGATGAGAATCCCGTGGATCGTTCCGATCAATACAACGAGAAGCATACATTCTGCGAATGTCTGAAACGTACTGAACTTCGGTTTTTGAGAAGAAAGAACTTTTCTGGACTTCTGCTGGAAGCTCATTCGTTTGCTATGTTTGAATATTGGTGGGGATACGTGACCCTACGTTGTATTCATTAAGACGTTATGGATTCCAATTGGTTTATGCATTCAACTATACGCGAACTTTCCCCATAAAGACCATCGATATAGTGAAATTTGTTGATACTTCCTACCTGTGACATGTGAAGTTTGACGCAAAAGAGACTGAGAAGACAAAGAGTGGTTGATACTGATGCCTGCATGATTGGAAATCCAACGGACCTCACGGTCTCTTTCAGCCGTTCCATTACATTACCGGGTCCTTTCTCTGGAATCTCAATCTCGTTTCTAAACGCTTAAAAAATGAGAAATCAGAATTGGAACAGACTGCTATTCGACAACGAAATGAGGTAACGATGATGACCTGTGTGGTGATAATGATAGCTGATGTGTGAAGGGATGTCGACCGAGAAGCCGATGCACATCACTGTCGCCGACATCATAATCGGATCCAGTTGTGCTCCTTTCAGCGACATAATGCCGAATACACCTTCAACGGAATAAGCTTTGAATTCTTCCATATTTCCTATCAACTGGGTCAGCTACCCGTTCTTAATTCATTTGCTATGACGCTTTACTGTGTTTGAAAATCTTTCTAAGTTGGTTTTCAGGTCGTGTTTCTTTTACCTGTCATTCTTAGGAATGAAACGAATGCGATGATTCTCTTCTAACTCACCGACGCTAGTGCTGAGAATACTGAGGGTAGCGACGAATAACGTGGGCAGATGGGAGATGAATAGCACGGTGACGGCGAACATGGAGACGAAGGTGAACAGAGCAGACTGTAACGACACCGGCACCATCGTCTCTATCATATCCAAGAACTTCGCGTCATCCTCGTAGATCGAAACTTTTAGGTCCGAATACTGCAAATGTTCATGATATTCGAATTAAATCAGGTCGTTATGGCGTGAAACTGGCGCATTTCTAGTCTCCATGTTGGAAAGAGGGATGTGCTTTCGCTTAGAAGTCCTTTAAAAATAAAGAAGTATAGAGCAATAGAGCTTCTCAGTTTGATGGTCAATTACGTATGAATGTGATGTCGATCACCAATTCGGATTTCGATTCTGCTGTCTTTCTCTCCTCCCAAAACCGACTTACTTTTAATCTCGGCATTGAATTCTTAATAATCCACGGTTTTCTTGATGAGCAAACACAAGATTGTTATTACAGCATTTGTTCATTCCCAACAGCTGACATTTCGGCAGTTTCGCCTTCTTCAGTGGCATTTTGTTTTTTACAAGCTCTCCATTTATTAAACAATTATTAAGGGCGCGTGTGGCTAAAAAAAAAAAAAACTAAAAATAGTAGGAGACGCCCCTGCGACATACACGTGGAATCGATCTCCGTGCCCATGGCCCACCAAGCTTTCCATTCCTCCGGGGTGGGCAAATTGGTACTAGACTTGTCTGGGAGGATAGCAGGGCTGGCTCAATTGATCGGTAGGCCACCGCGAGTCATTGTAAAGACCAGATGTGCATCAAATCACCTCTAACGATACTTAATGAAGTTGAATGCATGGCGCATGCCGTAGATATTGATCAACTCCGAGAGCTTAATTTTTTATCCTCCATTTAATATTGGCATTTTTTTTCATCAAAAAGCTAAAAACAGTAAAAGAAACGGGCCTCATTCCCCTGACCCCGAGGGCGTCCCCAATTTCGCAGTGTTGGGTAGGATGACTACGGAGAGGCCGCTAAAATCTCAGGGCCAATGGAAGCTCCCTGGATTACAAAGAACTGTGGTAACGATCTGTACCTACAATGCACGTACACTTGCATCCGAGTCCTCGATAGAAGACTTGCTCATGCTAGCAAGAAGGATAAAGTACGACGTCATCGGCCTGGCCGGGACGAGAAGACGCCAGCCTTTCAACGCCGTCTATGATACCGGAGAAGAATTGTTCCTCGGAACATGCGACAGTAGAGGAGTCGGCGGTGTCGGCGTTCTCATTGATCCGAATTTGTCCATAAACATCGATTCATGCGAACAATTTGAAACCCGAATCGGACGTTTACGTTTAAAAAGACGTCCATCAATTCCGGCTTTGACAATCTACGTCGTTTACGCTCCGACATCAATCTATGACCAAGAAGAAGCCAAAGCGTTCTATATGGACTTGGAGAGATTCTACAAAGAAGACCACACATTCTTCAAGATCATCATTGGAGATTTCAACACCAAGACTGGACCAAGAAGAATGTCTGAAGAACGCCATATTGGGACCCACGGATTAGAATGGAACGAACACGATGAGCGGCTATCTGAGTTCATCATGGCAACCAAGACCATCCATGCTAATTCGCAATTCCAGAAGCCCCACCCTCAGCGCTAGACGTGGGAGTCTCTCAATGGAGAGTACCATAACGAAATTGACTACATCATAGTAGTCAGAAAGTTTTGCCTAACCGATATCGCTGTTGTCCCAAAATTCTACACGGGATCAGACCACCGTCTCCTTCGTGCTAGATTCTATTTCTCGCAGAAAAGAGAAAAAGCCGCTCAATTCGAAAACCGAAATCCCAGAACCACCGTGAACTGGGACTTATTCAATTCATTAGTCGGCTATTGGAAAATACCGTTGTTGATAACATCGACGAAGAATACGATCGGCTCATTCAACATTTTCACAGTAGCGCTATGAAAGCTCAGAGTTCAAAAGTCACCAAGAGACGTCTGTCTCCAGAAACACTCGAGCTGATACGCCAGCGTGGCATCGCACGAGCGGCAGGCAAGCGCGAACTAACGTCCGAACTTGCAAAACAATGCAGACAGACGTTAAAAGAAGATCGTAAAGAGAGAATAGCAGCACTAATGGTCGAAGCTCTAGAGGCTAGGAAAAGCATTCGCAAAGCCCACCGAAGCTTCTCGAATTACAGGACCAAGATGACTGCACTCCGACGCCCAGACGGAGCAGTTACAGCGTCCAGAAGGGCAATGGAGAAAACCATATACTTCACGAATACTACTTAGATCTCTTCGATAGCCAAGCCCACCTCTCGTCATGTGAAATAAAGGAGGATGGATATGTTGTACCATCGGTTCTCCCTTCCGAAATCCGACATGCCGTTTCGTCGGTGAAAAATCGAACAGCACCCGGTCCGGACAGGGTAAGAGCAGAACACCTGAAGAACCTTCCGCCAATCCTCGTTAACACGCTGGCTCCGCTCTTCACACGTTATATGTTCGAATGTAAGGTCCCTACTCAGTGGAAGACCAGCATGACCGTGTTATTGATCAAGAAGAGTGACCTACACTATATCGGCAACTGTCGCCCAATCTGCTTGCTGTCTGTCATCTACAAATTTTTCACTCGAGTCATCCTAAACGGGATTGGCAGAACACTGGACGAAGGACAGCCGTGTGAGCAAGCAGGGTTTCGAAAAGGATTTAGTACGATGGCCCATATCCACACCGTAACCAAGCTCATTGAAGTATCGCGAGAGTACAAAAGACCGCTCTATCTTACTTTCATCGATTTAGAGAAGGCGTTTGATTCAGTTGGAATAGAAGCAGTCTTCGAAGCTCTTGATGGTAAAGGAGTCCCTACTCAGTACATAAAGATTCTTCGTGAGCTGTACAAAAATTTCACAACCAAGATATCACCATTCTACAACGATGTTAACACTGACGTCTAAGAGGTGTTAGGCAAGGCGATACTATCTCGCCAAAATTATTTACCACCACCCTCCAGAACGTCATGCGAACATTGGAATGGAATGATATAGTAGTGAAAATCGACGGTCGACAGTTACACTATCTTCGCTTTGCTGTTGACATCGTCCTTATAACACCAAACATTAGCCAAGCGGAACGTATGCTTGACGACTTTGATAAAGCCTGTGGAAAAATTGGTCTTCGACTAAATCTCACAAAAACGGTGTTCATAGAGCGGATTGGTTTCGCATGCCCCATTCACGCACAACGGAACGAGTATCTCCGAATGCTCCAGTTATTTATATCTAGGTCGGGAAATCAATACGACGAACGACCTAGCTCCAAAGCTGAGCGGAAGGAAACGAGCAGCTTGGGGAGCTTTCAAGAGCATCGAGGATGTAGTGAAGATAACAAAGAACACCTGACTCCGTGCACTCCTTTTCGACTCAGCAATACTTCCTGCCCTAACGTATACGTCAGAAACCTGGTCGTTGCGTAAGCAGAATGAAAGGTCACTCAACGTTATTGAACGCGCAGTCGAAAGCACGATGCTAGCAGTATACCGTTTCACACAAGTGAGGGACGGGATCCGAAGCTCCGACCTGCGTTAACGATCAAAAATGAAAGATGCCGTTCTGTACGCCAAACAGTCGAAGATAAGGTGGACCGGACACATAGTGCGTATGAATGACAACCGATGGACAAGAACCGTTAGTGACTGGATTCCTCGGGATGTCAAACACACTGCACGTATGTGTCAGAGTGGACGACCACCGACCCGATGGTCAGAGTTTTTCACGAAGAGCCTAGGAGAAAGATATGAGGCTCGACGAGTCCCTAGAGCAAGCACTGGGCTACGCTTGCACGCGACAGGGAAAAATGGAGGGTTTACTGGCGTCCGCTCTAGTCACTCGACGATCAACGGGCTACAGGTGGTACAGGTGACAGGTGATTTAATATTGGAGACCAGCCGCGCAGAGTCTTACCTGGATGAGTCTTCTCTACAGTTTCTGAACCTTGATAAGCGTCCTAAATGTCGATAAGTAATATCAGCTGCACACCTTATCAGCTAAAAATCGCCACTGATTCAGAAGCACTGCACGATTTGACCAGTCTTGGAGTTCTCGCCCTTGAAAAGCAGTTGTGAAGAAGAATCGCGTGACAATGTACTCAGCTCTGAATAGAAGATATCTATTGTGCATTGGACACTAATAACCTTTGTTATAATAATAAGGAACAACTTTTTCCTTCAAAGTTCTTTGTGTTAAGTTGTTCATATTTTCTTTTAAGTGCTGTACTGTTACTTATCAATGTGGAGCTTATTCCTACCTTTAGCTCTATATAATTGAACTATAAATGAGTCCCTTACTTTGCTACTTCCTCTCATATCTTTAGGATCGAGTAAGTGTTATGAGACCACTCTGGGTCTAACTCACTTCGTAAAATGTAAGTGACAACGCTCTAGCACTGCTATACCAAGACGAGCGAGAATCAGCTCGATCAGCATTAAAGACATTTATAATGAAAGCGACGATCCTCAATCAGAAGCCGAATCCACATGTGAAACGCTCAGAGACTTTCGTGGTTGATGGATGCTAGAAAACGAATGGAATGCAAGAAGTGCTTGGATCAGCACTGTAGATGTGAGGATGGGTCATGAAGGAAAGAACCACTGTTTTTTCCATCTCCAACTGTTGTGATGGGTCATGTTAATCGCATAAAATAGGCGGATAAAACAAATACTGTATAATACTTCATATAATTTGCGAGATATTTCCGAACATAAACCACAATGAGGTTAGATGATAGACCGTACTAAAATGTAACAAATAGTAACGTATATAATTAACTTTTATTTATTCCTATTCTTTTTCCATGACAAGGTACTAGGTGAAATACATTAACAATTATGTTGAGGTATAAGCAAAACACGAAACCTCAGCCAGGCTTCGAACCCGTAACTCCCTTCACAGGAAGCTTACGTGCTGTCCACTACACCCACTGACTCCTTTACTCCCTTTGCATTGCTCTCAGCCTGTTTTCCCACTCTTTTTGCTCCTTTCCTCCAATTTTTTAAAACTATTTATAAAAGTTAGGACATTGTGGTTCCTAGCGCAGCGGCAGCTTCACTGGGTTCAATTCCTACTTTTGCTTCCCAGATCATCTCCATTGGCAAGTAAATGCTGATAGCTCAGCACAGCTGGCTCATAGTATTAATGAGGCACGGTGTCGTTGAAGTCGTAACGATCACACAGTGGAATGCGTTGGATTTAAGGATACTGTCGTGATGAGTTTGACGCTGAAGATGAACAAGATCACCGGCGTCCTCCAGGTACTTACGACGAAGAATGGGAGCTTTGGTGAAAGTAAATACATGCATAATTACTCCAAAATTTGCGTAAGAACTTGATGTAGGTATATCATATTTATAGAAGAAAGTCATATTTCGGAACCTTTCTAGAAAATTAGAAAGTCGAAGAAGCTCCACACATGTGTGGCGTGGGAATGAATGAAAATCAAAGAAACCATCACCTTGAAGTATCGTTGGCGTTAATTCTGTGCATCAAGAACGATCTGTTTCTCGACCATATTGTGGTCTCATCCACGATGGAGCTCTGCAGCACATCCCGAGATGAAAATTCTACCGATAGAAAGTCATGCTGACCTTTGGTAGATTGGTGCTCGTTTGATCCATCACAGCTTTCTGATTGCAGCTGAGACCATTACGGTGGCGAAGTACGTCCAGCATATCGACGGTATCTACCGGAATTTCAATGTCTGCACACCGTGCATTGGTCTACAGAAAAGTACCAATCCTTCTCGACAGTAAATCTCGGCCACACGTCGTACTATCAACAACCAGAGCCCTTACCTACCGGGTACCACTTCTTCAAACATGTCGACAACGTCCTGCGCGAGAATCTTCAACGAATTCATCGCCTCCACAACTTCATAGTTTTGAGAAAAATGTGTGGATTCTAATGTATATTATAATGATTTTTATTTCGATTGCTAAAGTTTGTTCTTAGATGAGATACCCCACTTTCAAGTTACATGTTGGAATGCTACATTATTGTCCGAACGAACTAAAACAATGCTCATTTTAATAACTGGTCGATTTGTACTGAAACACTTATGTCACCACTCGCCAAAAATTTTAAATATCTGCATGAAGTGTAGCCCTAACCGTAGAAATTTAAAAAATGAAATAAAAAGTGATTAATAATGGAGGAACCAATTGGGAGCCTAATATGGAGAACAAAAATCCTATACTGCTGTCGATTCTTAATTTTAAGCGAAATTGAAGAAGGTGCATGGTTTCGTAGACAATTATGACTTCTTAACCGTTTTATTTACTGCCTACTCTTTTTTTAATGGCAGGGCACATTGCGAAATATAACGTTAATGAAGCTAAAATATTGGCAAAACTCCGGACCTCAGGTGTGTGCGGTGGGGAACGAACGCGCTACTGCCCTTCCGGAGAGCAACGCATTCACCACCATACCATGCGGGTTCTTCGTTTCGCCTGCCTCTCAGCTAGTTCGCTAATATATCAGCTTCATGAAAGTTATATTTCGCAATATGCCCTCCTATTAAAAAATAAAAATAGAAAAAGAGTAGGCAGTAAATAAAGCGGTTAAGATTGTGATTATAACTAAAGCCCCATCTTAACTATGTTCGTTGCCGATTTAGGTTCCTCAGATCAATCCCGCTGATGGGTGATTGCTGTGGCAAAGATCGATAAAACTAGCTGAGAGATAGGCGAAACGAAGGACCCGCATGGTGTGATGGTGAATGCGTTACTCCCCGGAAAGGACAATAATGCGTTCGTTCCCCACCGCAGACACCTGTGGTCCGGAGTTTTGCAAATATCTCAGCATCATTGAAGTTATATTTCGCAATATACCATGCCATCAAAAAGAGTAGTTAGTAAATAAAACGGTTATTATTGTGTACGTTGCAAAATCGATGGTAAAAGAACTAAGGGCAACACAGATGTTTGCCGCATTGCAAATGAACCAGTCCGTAGCAGTGGACTGCACTCCGTGGTCGGCCCATGAACAAGCCTCATGCCATTCCAGTACAATCCAACGTATAGCTCAGCTCCAGATGATTTTCAAACTCACATCGATTTGATGCCCTTTCATCAATCAATACATATGTGAGAATGAAAATACTGGAATCTGTCATTTTCTAAATAGTGGCTTCATAACACATATCGAATTATTCCCAACTTTAACTTGTTATTTACTGCCTAGTCTTTGTAATGGCAGGGTATATTGCGAAATATAATTTCAATGATCCTGAGATATCTGCAAAATTCCGGTCCGCAGGTGTCTGCGGTGGGGAACGAACGCGCCGTTGTCCTTTCCGGGGAGTAACGCGTTCACCACCACACCATGTGGGTCCATCGTTTAGAGTTTTGCAATTATCTCAGCACCATTGAAGTTATATTCCCAACTTTTTAAAAGCAGATTTGCACAAATCTGTACAGGAAATCATAATTAGTTTGTAGATTCATTCTCATTTAAGTGCCTACCCCATTTCGTTGCTTTCCAATTGTATAAATCCTTTCCAGAAGGAGAACTCTGGCCATTCGAGGAATTGCTTCAATTCATTGCCTTTTGGTTTAGCTGTAGATGAAACGAAGAAGCTGAAAACATGAAACGGAGAGCAATAGTATGGGGCAACAGTTCAGAATCAATAAATCGCGGTAAGTAATAATTGGGTACCTGCCATTCTGTGTGAACACTGTGCTTGGCTCAAGTAAGTCATCATATTCCTTGGCTATGTCAAGTTCTTCTCCTTGTTTTAGAAAGTCTTCATAGTCTCTCAACCAGAATTTGGTCGAATATCGACCAACCGAATTGGGAAGGTTTTCGAACTCCGCGACCTAAAACTGTCGATTTCGTCAAAATCGAGTTTCTGTGGCTTTTGCAGTTTTTCATCAGAAGCAATATTCACACTGGTTTAACAGTGTAATACACTTTTATTTCGGAAGTAATATTTATTTTTTGGAAACCGTAATAGCGTGTTCGGTCCCCACCGTAGACACCAGCGGTCTGCAGTTTTGCAAATATTTCACCCTCGTTATGGTTGCATTTTTTGGAGAGTTTGAAGTATAAAGGAACAAAAAATCCCATGACACATCGACAAATTAAGCCAAATTGCAGGAAAATAAAAAAGCTCTCAAGCACTCGGCGTTGATCAATGCCTAAGGGATGCACCATGCATATCACTTCATTAAGTATCGTTGGAGGTGATTGATTGAATGCATATCTGGCCTGTGCAATGACTCGCAGTGGCCTACCGATGTATCGAGCCAGTGCTGCTATCCTCCCAAACAAGACCGGTACTAATTTTCCCACTCCGGAGGGATGGAGGGCTTGGTGGGCCACTGACGCGGGGACCGTTTCCACGTGTGTCGCAGTGGCGCCTCCAACCACTGCGCCACACGCGCCCGTGCAAGAAAGTAAGGTGGCTAGTAAATAAAATTTCTTTCTAAATGATTCCATATAAGTAAGAAGGAAGTCAGCAAACGCCAGAATTCAAATGAACATTCCATTCGAGTTAGCGGCGAGGCGTGCCATGAACACTTCTTTGTTTTCGATTTCAAATTTTCAATAGAACATTTTATTTCCATCATTCAGCATTAACGTAGCAGGCGAGTGGCCCAAAAATTCCTGTTCTGTCTTACTTAGGTGAACTTTTCAGCGTCGCCAGTTTTTCTATGACAGTACATCGTTGTGGTTGGCATCGATTTTAGCGGTTGTTCCTGATGTAGTCAGTTTTCAGTAATGTCAAAGTGACTAGTTGAAGAAACGTGCTGATCACTTCCGCATGACGAAACCATGGAATTCGGTCGATTGCAGTGACATTAAATTCCTTTAACGATGTGCTGACTCCATTCTTTATGAGTTCGAGATGATGTGTCGAAGATATTCTGCTGCACTGCCACTTTTACGTGAAGCACTGTATTGAATGCACTTTTCATCTTGAAACCGGGAGAATAATTAGCTGCTATCGAAGGAATCCGTTCGGAATTGTGTTTGGAGGATTGAGGTACTCTATATTTACTAGGGAAACGCACTCATGGATGCTTACAAGTAATCCTTTGGTCGTATTTGTTGTATTCACAGAATTTGTCGTTTCAATTATGTACCAATACTACTTACTTGGTATTGGACGGCCCGTCCTCACTGCTTGTGCTGGCCCCAGCATAATCACCATTTTTCGGAGATTTCCTGGTTAAGCCATTGTGGTTCCCTGGAATCTCGAGGTCTGCCTGGCCAAAGTCTGCCCCAGGTCTTCACCACCACAGGCAGCCGCAGCCCTTGTGGATCAGAGGGAGATTTGTCACCATGCCACTTTGATACCAGGACGGTGGTGGATCCTAGTATTGGTTTACTCTTAGCTAAGCTTCTTGATGGAAACGGTGTACTTCTTCTCAGCTTGGTAGACTCTGCCGGGTAGACCAATCCCCTCGCTGTACATCGCAATCCGACACCCAGGAACACCTCCCAGCCACAATGAGGTGGTAAACCATTGGGAGGATGTACCAATACTAAATTATATTATGGGACAGTAAAAAGATAGGGTGTCCGAGGTTGGCAAATCTCTGATGGATGCGCTATGAGTCGACTTCATCGAACGTCGTAGAGAGGATTGAGAGGACTTCCTTGGCTTAAACAATGAATTCCAGTAGCCTATCAGTGTGTCGTTTCATTTGCAAAACTTGGACTCCAGGCCAGATTCGAACCGGCGATTACCCTTTCAAAGTCCTTGCTTTGCCTTTCTCTCAGCCGGTTTCTTACCCTAACGGTGCCGTCAGCAATCACCCATCAACGGGAATGATCTGGACAGCACAAATCGGAATTGTGTACCTAGCTAAACTGAGGCTGTAGTCTAAGTCATTGTGTGTAATATTTCAGTATTTATTTCATTGTTTTTCTTCGCTTGGACAAGTCTGATTCCAATTCGTCGATCTCGGAGGAGTGGTAAGATTATTTGAGCTACGGAGGTTGGATCGAACTAGAGACCATATACGTATTGTGGGTCACCTATAACAACTGCGCTATACCCCCACAGTATTATATTGAAACAACCATTTCCGTAACTGCCACGACCGACTTTCTATTGACCTCGGCATTGATCAAGTAATTTTCTTCGTATTTTTGTTGAGCAAACGCGAGGTGTTACTATTCTTTGTTCACGATTGAGCTGACGTTTCGGCGGATTTCGCCTTCTTCAGAGCCTGGAAAGGTCAAGTTGATAGCAATCTACTCGGCCAGACGCCTCCATAACCAAACAAAGAAACTCTAAACCAAGATTTCAATCACTTTGAACACAGCTTTGCACACTCACCGCTTCCTATGAGGTTTCCACTAAGTATGTCACGTAGAGACCAACCGCACAGAAATCACATGGAAGTATAATGTGCCCCTCATATCAGAAAAGCAGTTTTATATACTGCCCTATATCACGCGTGATAATGAGGCATTCTTCCCTGCGGTTCATTTTCGGGTTTCTGGAATTAATCCAGAGTGCCTCGAGAGTTTTTCGCGCCTGTGTTCTTGATTCGCGTGGGAGGATCGTGACACATACTTCGAAGTCTTCCCCGTTATGTCTCTGGGTCCTATGCGTGCCTAGCGGGGTATTTGGTCTATTTTTGCCGGCTAGGTGTTCTTTCATGCGGGCACAGAGGGGTCTACCCGTTTTGCCAATGTATTCGTCACCACACGTCTTACAGG